ATAGGGAATAGAGAGGGAGAGAAAAAGTCAGAAATGGTTTGGGAATGTGGAAGGAATGCAATTAAAAAGAAAAAAAAGAAAACTGGGGGTTTTGCTACACAACCTGCCATAGGTAAAAATCAGGCAAAACAAGGCCCTGCCTATTGCAATGGCAGAGAAGGTGTTAGGTTAATATATATTCAAATGATCCAGGGGAAAGGATCATGCCCAATGCTACAAAGAAGTAAAAACCCCAGTTATTCTTCCCAATCTGACCTAGGAGGGGGGCGGAGAAGGGGAATTCCTTCCTCAGATCACTTCCTGAATTTGGGTTGGTGCTGAGCTGAAGAACAAGGTATCAGAGATTTCCAAATAACAATAGGCACTCCACTGCACTACAGTTAAAATGCCCAAGTCTCACTATGGCCAGTGGCCAAAGTTTCAGAACAAGGAAGAGAAAAAGAAGCCAGCAAAGCATTCAAAAAAGAGGGGAAAACCCCCCAAAATCTTCCTTCAGTTCAACAGAAGCCCTGAAGCACAGGACTACCAGACACTTCCTGAATTGAGAGAGCTACCAGTTGAATCCACAAACCCAATGCACTCATTTATCCAAAAACATCCTTACCCTCTCTAACTACTCCTTCTATGAATCTGTCCAGCTCTATCTTGAAGTGTCGTGGGTCCTGTGCGCATACTGCTGTATTCAACAAACCATTACAAAACTTCACTCTACCAGTGTCTTATTTCCCATCAAAACGTGTTCATGATCGATTTGTATCCGTTTGTTCTTGTGCTGATATTTTTCTTTAATGCAAGTAGCTCTTTCCCCGTCCTTCTCCTGACTGCTAGATATCCCATAAATATTTTGTAAAGAGTAATCCTATCCCTTTCTGAATCTTGATTTTACTAAGCTAAAAAAATCACGCCCTTGTACTCTGCTCTTAAAAGATGGGTTCTCCATTCTTTTAATTATTTTATCAGCTTTCAGTTATTATTTTTTTAACAATGGTGAAAATAACTGTACATAATCTTCTAGATGGGGTCTTACTGATGGCTTCTACAATGGTATCAGTATTTTCTTGCCTCTATTGACTGTGCCTCATATAATAGACCCTAAAACTATAATGACAATAGGTTTTTTCAAGGCCATATTGCCCTAGTGGCTCATGTTAATCCCATGATGCGTAGGAGGCAAACAGGGGGGCACATGCTCCCCTAGATTTCTGCATTGATAGCAGGGCACAAGCTGCAGTCCAGCCAAAGACAGAGTTGTGCCCCCCACCTCCACTGTCAGCACTTTTTCGTCTATGGTAGGTGGATACTAATGGAACTCTGTGTTAATTATTTTTTGTAGCTATTGTTAAAAGGGAAGATGTAGGGATAGATGTTATAACTGAGAGATGCTCCCTAACAGGAGACTGAAGGAGTTGGGAGATCATGGAATCATAAAAAACAAGGGTTGAAGGGAGCTCACATCTAGTCCAGTGCCCTGCTCCAAGCAGGACCAGTCCCAACTACATCATCCCAACCAAGACTTTGTGTAGCTGGGTCTTGAACATCTCCAAGGACTGAGATTCCCCAACCTGTCTTGGTAACTTGTTCCAGTGTTTTACTACCCTCCTAGTGAGAAAGTTCTTCCTAATATCTAATCACTTGCCAGCTACACAGTCAATATGAGAACAGTCCTTCCCCGCTCTTCCCTTTTCCTCTTCTTATTTTCTCTTTAGCTCCAACAAGCCCAGCTTTGAAACTCGAAATGTTTCAAAACTTTTGAAACCTTTCAACGGTCCTTATTTCATTTTGAGGCTGTTTCAAAGCCTTTCATTTCATTTCAATTTTGCTGTTTTGAGCTCAAAATGAGTTGAAACTGCATCAAAATAAAACAGCCGGTGAAATTTTGCACAGCCCTACCTTGTACTAGACTAGATGAACAGCCAGAGAGGAATGTTTTAACTGTTCTTTTTTAAAGGTTTTTTTTTTTCCTTTTTTGGGGGGGGGAGGGGTGTTCAATGGCTAAGGTCTCTTTCATTTATTTATTTTTCTGATTACATGTTGCTGTTCTACATCCAACTGATTATAAGCTTCTGCTTTAATGAAATAAATTGGGAGAGTAAATGTTTATTGTTTTTATGGAAAAACCCCAGCCTTCTCATTACCTCTTCTTTCTTGTGTTATTGAACCCAGAAGCTCCAGTCTAGGACATAGTGAGCTTTCCTACAGGAGCAGGTCATGTCAAGGGGGGCAATTCCTGTGCTCATAATTCAGCAGGTATCTCAGTGCTTGCAGGGCTACTCAATCATTAATTGACTGGATCCAAATTAGCAAACAAAGAAGACAATGTGTGGGTTATTTTTTTTTAATGGAACCTTATCAAAGAGTACAGCCAAATGAAGATGGAAAACAGGTCAAGGGAAACCAAAATTAACATCGCTCTTCTCAAAATGCACCGGCATGAATATGTATGATGCATTATAGATCTGACTGATGAATGACCTCAGAAGCCATGCTTAAGAAGTAATGCCTTATACTGAGTAATGGAGGGTCTTCTTTTCGGCGTGAAGCATTAGTCACTGAAATGCTTTCCCTTTGCTACTCAGAAAAAACCTTTTAGATATCTAATGTGCAGACTGTTTTCTTCATAAGAATGGAAGAGCATCTCTCCTTCCTATAATATAGCACCAGTTATTCGAGAAAATGTATCCACTCCCCTACCTCCTGCCGAGCTATAAGAGGAACAAGGGGTGACTCAGGTGGTCTGGGATTCAGTGCATGTGTTATTTAATAGGGCATCTGGTTCTCTAGGGCATCTCCTGGGGCAGGGAGCAGGCAGTCACAATCCTGGAGGGCTCCTTGTGCAGTGGGTCCATGTAGTCCTCATGCTCATGGATTATTCTTGGCCCAGCCCCTTCCTTTTGCAGCTGCCCAGTTCCATTTGCTGAGGAAATCCACCAGCAGGCACTTGTCACATTGGAATCAGAGACATGCATGTCTGAGTCCCCCCATAGCCAGGCCAGGACCTGGGTGGAGGCATGGGAGGTCAGAGGTCCTATGGAGATAGATCCCACAGTGGTAGGGGCTTGGATATTACAAGGTTTTCAAGCCAGTGCCTCCCCTGTTGTGGGGGGAGGGGAACCATTCCCTCTTCTTCACACTGACAATATCTCAGGAAGTTAATGTAGCACGCTTATGCTGAAACAGAGAAGAAACTGTCCCCAATCCCCCTCCCCCCCCACAACCTCCCTGGTTGGCCAGCCTGTTTGATAGGTCCTGGTATCACTCTGTATGCAAACTAAATCTAGGATAGCATTGCTTGTCATTGGTATAGCAACCACTGGGTAGAGAAATCTATCAGCTCTCTCAGCCCCAGTAGCACAATATCGACTGCATTTGCTGTCTGCTTTGTATCAAGGAAGTTAAAATGACATCCCCAGGTTCTTCCTCTCCAGGTGCAGTACCTTGCACTTGGCAGTATTGCA